GCGAGAGAGAGAGAGAGAGAGAGAGAGAGAGAGAGAGAGAGAGAGAGAGAGAGAGAGAGAGAGAGAGAGAGAGAGAGAGAGAGAGAGAGATTGAGAGAGAGAGAGGGGTGGGGAGAGAGGGAGAGAGAGAGAGAGAGAGAGAGAGAGAGAGAGAGAGAGAGAGAGAGAGAGAGAGAGAGAGAGAGAGAGAGAGAGAGAGAGAGAGAGAGAGAGAGAGAAAGCTGGGGAGGACAGACAAAGTCAAATAAAAGAGAATACAAACGTTGGATAGACAGACAGACCTCTAGATAGATAGGTACATACATACATACATAGTCAGACACACGGACAGACAGACAGATAGACAGACAAATAGGTAGAGACAGAGAGGAGAAAAAACTAAGACACACCAAGCCACATTCCAAAGGACAAGCCATTAAAAAAAAAAAAAACACACAAAACGAGCAATAACAGATCGAACTCCCACCCCCCTGTCTCTCGTCTTCGCTATCCTGACTCGTCACCTTTTCTTTCTATCTTCATCCTTACTCCAGCTGTCTCCTCCTCCTGAGTCGCTTCCGCAGTCGCTCATGCTGGTTCTGCGCGGAGAGAGAAGATTTAAGGAGGGAATGTTATAAGATACTTTTTTTTTATTAAAGCAAAGTGAGGAAAATGTTACAGCTACATATGCGTATAAGTATATACACACATGTATATGTAGTGTATATATGCATATATGTACACACCCACATACACATATATATATACACACATATATAGATATATACATATATACACTATCATTATATAATTCTATTATCATTGTCATGTTATTTTTATAATTTCCATCATTATTATTTTCATTAATATAAATGCATGTATACATACACATACAAACGTACATACACACATACAAACATATATGCGTTATATATACACAAATTATATATATATATATTCATATATAGGGTATGTGTGTGAGTGCACGCGCGCGCGTGCGCGTGTGTATGTGTGTGCACGAACGTATTAAGAAAACAACAACAAAAAAGTGAATTCGGTGTAAAGGAATTGTAAAAACACGATCCTGCATGTTACAGCCGTCGGTATTAATGACTACTATTTCTTTCAATCAGTGAAGATTTGGCATTTAGTCTCATTTCTTGCAATGAAATCATAATCAGTCTTATTGGAAGCCGTCATTTCCGTTGTCAAAAAACTGTATTACAACGCTGCCACTAGGAAATAGCAGTATATACAAGTTCTTTGTTACCAATATTACAAATAAAACGATGGAGAACTATTGAAATCAGTTGAAAATGCGCGGGCACAAACCGCTTCCGTCACACGTTTTCCTTCGTCTATCGACATCGATTTTGAAAGTTACACCTTTTAATGTTTTGAATATTTTACTTTTTACTAATTGATATTATTATATTTAAAAGGGTACATGAGTTTATGCCTTCATATTTAATTATACCTACACAAGAAGTAAACTGATTATGTAGAACTTAATATAAAATTCCATAATATTCTTGACCATTCAAATACATTCTGTATACAAAACATGAATCTCTCTGAGTATCTCATTCGTCATGGAACACTTTTGGAGGCCTGAATATGCCCGAGGCTAAAAAATAAATGGTATAATAAACGCAATAATCGCTATTGTTAACTGTACATGACATACTGAAATGTGTTAATTAAAAGCGTAGACATACGAAAGATAAATTGAGTTTCACTCTTCACAGTCATGGGCCTTACTGATATGAAAGCATTTTGATATTAAAGTTTATACTCTATATTACTATCTATGACAATAGTGTAGATTTTCAAAATAAATATTTCGTTGCTAGAGCATGACGATCTAGTGAAATGTTCACATGTTATATGTTATGTTCATCTGTTATCTATGTGTGTGTGTGTGTATAAGAACAAACCGTATAAATATTTTCAGAAGGATACCGTCAAGGTAGAATTGCCTAAAAAAACAAAGAGAGAAAAAACGAACCTAAAATGAATCATAAGAGCAACATTCTGCAAGTCGCTGTAATATATCCACAACCCGCTCTGGGGTCACCGGCCGTCCCTCCAACAGTGAAGAACACACAAGTGTTAAAGAAACCGAGAAAGAAAGCTTTATTGGGATTTGTAAGCTAAACGAGGTAAGTTGGATAAGTTAGAAGAGAGAGAAGACCGAAACACTGAGGTTCTAATATTAAAGGCAAGATGGAAAAGAAAAAAAGTTGACAGCTAGCATTCGGAGGTTAAAGCGCAAAGAGAAAGTAGTAACATGAAGAGGGATCTATTAGTGTGTAAGTAAATGAGAAAAGGAGATAGGATTATCAAATATAAGCCCCCCCCCCACATTCACAATTTACACTGAAAAATGTATCGGGGGAGGATTATGATATAGGTATTATTAGTTTCCTAAAGGAGACTAATATTTTCTAACAACCTTTGATTATGCATATTTATGTTTTGATTGGTAATAGACAATTTATTGTTTATTTTTATTTATTATATTGTTTACTGACAGATATTTAAACGTTTTAAATACTTTATCTTATACCTTGGCTGTTGAGTGGCAGATAATTTCAGTAATCAATCTTTCATCTGATTTCGATATCATTTCGTCGTTCTTTCTAAATTTTACCATGTTGATTACTAAAAACTTGTATTTATTGCTATTTTCTAATGTAATATCAGTAAGATAGAGATTGGTAATCTAATATAATTCAAAGGTAAAATCAAATTCGTCAATTTAAGTACGATTCCTAGTAATGGGTGTGAAGTGGAACTTTTGGCACCAGCATAGAAACATTGGCATCGTTGCTATCGCGGATGAGATTAGCGACACTTTCTGGTGTCTTATGACATTTTTGTCAGCGGAAATGAAGGCTCAATTATCAAATATAACATGAAGATTCCAATGAAATGGTAATCTTCTGTACGCGCCATAAAATTAAATCCAATATTAAAGTTTAATCCAGACCTCTAATGCGTATGCACAGTGGCAGTATCCAGAATTAACTTTTAATTCATCTTCTGACCAGACTTTACTTTTGAGCTCAAAGATTAATCCTGTACATGTGCAGAACGAGCGACTAAATCCCACCAATCACGTTTATTTTCGTCGGTCAGGGCGAAGCGCACGTGCAGAAAAGCTCAAGTGAACGCAGGGCATGTACTGATACATAATGTCAATGTCATCAGCGTCATAGAAATGATGGAGCTGAGTTGCCATTATTTATAATGAGCAATAGCGAAACAGATTCTGACATTTTCATGCCAAAGATGTATGTGAAAATTTATCAATATATGTTTTTTTTTTATAAGTTGTGGGATATTTGAATTGCAGATTTCACTCTCTACACTGAAAAGAAAAACGATAAAATCCCACAGAGAATTCAGAGTTCACAGACACAGTAAAAGCAACGCTATTTCCAGGTTGGACAAACATTCCCAACTTATGCAATACATTAATCGAATAAAAAAGAAAGCCTTTAATAACATCACGATTAGGTTTCAAGTTCAAAGTAAAAACTTCCTGATTCTTCAAACTAAAGAAACTTCAAAACTGCGTGGACATTTATTTTGATCCTCGCTTGTAACATCCTAATAAAAACTACCCAATCACACACGAGAATGAGCTCTTGGTGATTGATCTTACGAGTATCACATATTTGTTTGACATCTTCATTTCGGTTGTCTGTAATATTTATACGGTATTTGAAGCCATTAATATATTTTTATTTGTACAGACATATATATCAGCATGCTGTATTGTGTGTGTGTGTGTGTTTGTGTGTGTGTGTGTGTGTGTGTGTGTGTGTGTGTGTGTATGCGCGCGCGTGCGTGCGTGTGAGTGTTTGTGTATGTGTGTGTGTGTGTGCGCGCGTTTCCTTCTGTAGCAACGTTTCGTTTTCAACACTGGCGTGCGATATGAGACTTGTAGGTGTATGCTAATTGCCATTTCACAGATACCCACTTTTTCATGTAAAACAGTTGATTTACTGGTAATGGCATTGACTCGTGCGTCTGGCAATGTGTCTTGCATCTTCAGTGTCATTACTTTGCATTTGGGTAATACTCCTAGTTCTACCTAAAAAACAAAAACAAAATAGTATAACAAGCAATGACTACGACGTAAAATTTTATTGATACCAAATATCCTGACGGATAAAAGTTTCCTACAATCTTGTTGCTTCATTATGTTAGGCATCGACAAAATACACACAAACACACACACACACTATATATATATATATATATATATATATATATATATATATATATATATATATATATATATATATATATATATATGTATACACATATATATTTATATTTGTATATACAAAGATACATTATATATATTATAAAAATAATCTGAATCCCCTCCCCCACTCTCTCTTACTCTCATTCACTCGCTCTTTCTTTCACTCACTCATTCTTTCTCTCTTTCTCACTGTACATTTTTACCATAACTGTTTCTTATCTGTCCGGCCGTGTCTATGGCCAGCCCATCAAATCGTATTTCAAGTTTTGAGTATAGATTATTATAACTTGTGGGTATAGGTGCTTATAATTAGTTTTATTCATATTTCATACATTTACTATTATTTGACAATTTTTATAAATATTCAAGAACGTTCACTTGTAGTTATAATTTTATAAGATTTACTTGTATTTGCCATTTATTCTATTCACTTTCATATCACGATCTAGCATGCTTTTGATATCATGCCCTCGTGAGATATAAGAATAGGAAAAAATATGCACAGTGTATGCATAGTGCTCGGTTCAGGGAATGCTGAGGTTTTCGAATGTGGATTTAATGATTTTCTCCTCTTTCTGAATCCCATTTCTCGCGGCGATTATAACAACAAATACAGACTTTCGTTCCAAAGTATAGGATGATAAAAATAATATCAAGAATTACAATTAATGACCTGTGGAATATATAAATATATAATATATATGAACACGTAGGGCGCGTAGATATCGCATAGTTGCCAAGAGTCGCCGGAAGATTACGCACATAAAGGGTATATTTCGCCTGTAAGCACTATAGGAGCTGCGTTTACTTGTTCTAAGGAAGTATTTTAAGTCTTGCAGTTGCGTCGCCTATTTTTCCAGACAGGGGTCCATATTTTTTAAAAGGTAGGTTCATATCCGTAAGTGATTTAGGTGGCTTGTGGTCAGTTATTAAATTATTTGTGTGTATAGAAGCTAAACCATGTTGATTTTTTGTATATATGAGCTGCAGAGCAAGTTTTATTTGTTTGTTTATGAGTATTTTTGTGCATGTAGATACTTCAGCTAAGTTAAGTCGACATTTAAAAATAAGAGTAAAGTGTGAAAAGAGACAGAATGTAAAATATGTTGAGAAAAATACCGAAGGTGACCTTGAGTTAAGACGCAGAGAGTTGCCCACTACTGTATTTAGTTACTTCTTAAGTCATTATTGTAGATAGATGAAAGAGCAAAATTTTGATCTTATGGCTTATTAACCAGATATAAGCTCATCGTTTAAATGTTGTCTGTGACGATAGTAGCTTATCGGAATTCTGTTCCCTAAGTAGTAAAAACATCATTATAACGCCATCTCCATATTTTCGGATTCGAGATGCGCGGCGCATGCGATCATATTTGCTACGCAACGACAACTGCAGTGAAATCATTCCTCGCTGAAGCTGTTGTACTCTTCCTCGTTTGGAATTATCCGCAAGTTTTGCTTTTTGAAATGCCATTAAGTTGTGCTGCATATGGCTGCACGAGCCATAATAAAATGGAAAACAAGCCTGGATTCTTCCGTTTTCCTAATAATGACCAAGAGCTTCGGGAAAAATGGATAAACGCATGCAAACGCCAACACAAAGGTGGCTAGCCATGGAGGCCTAAGGGCAGGAACGTTTGTGGAAACCGCTTCATTACAGCTAAGATTCGAACTTTTGATGCTAAAAATAAACATTTACTTATAAAGGTATTCCAACTACCAAGGTTCTGAGCCTTGGAGAACTAACAATAAACATATGAAAACTTACCATAGGCCAAGGGTAAATTGTTTTCATGGCCCTGAATTCATGTGATTATTCTTATCAAACTCCCCCTCCCCAATTTTGTCGTCTGAGGCATTATTTTTGGCATCTGAACGGAATAAAGAGGAGTAATTTTTTCAGGGAAGCCAATGAAGAAGGATCCAAGTCATCCAGACTATGTCCCTTCCATTTTTGTGTACACGCAAAAAGTTGCTAAAAGAGAGCAAGAGAAAATGAAACGGTTTGAATCAGCAAAGAAGAGAAGAGAAAAGGTAGCAACAGTGTCTCAAAGGAAGAGAAAAATTTAAAAGATTTCCTCCTCTGATACAATGCTCAATGCAGTTAATCTAATGAGAAGCGACGAACTGTTTTCACTGCAGCTGCGAGCGCATTCACAAATGAAAAGCATGTGACGTCAGCTCGTATCCAAGAATTTCCCATTTATTAACATCCGCACAACGACATTGGTGTACGGTTTCTATTTTAATATATTTTCGTCTTAACTCGTACGTTTCCACTAAAACAGTGAGACTGTGGGTATGTATAGATGGATCTAAGTTAATGAAAAAAATAATGATAGTAATTGTAAAATGACAATGATAATTATATTTAATATATATATATATATATATATATATATATATATATATATATATATATGTATATGTATGTATGTATGTACGAACGTATATATATATATATATATATGTATCTATATATATAGATACTGCATATATATATGAACAGTAGATATATGTATGTATATGTTCTGTATGTATGTAATTATAGATATATATGAGTATATATGTATGTATGTGTATACCTATATATGCCTATATTTACATATATATACATCTACACACATGTATGTATATATGCATATGTTACCAACATTTTCCTCGCTTTGCTAAACAAAAGTTCGAGCCTTCCTGAGCAGCCTTCCCTCCCCAACATTCTCTCTCCTCCGCGCAGAACCAGGATGAGCGACGACTGCGGAGGCGGAGGCGGGTGCGACTCGGGAGGCGGAGGCGGGTGCGACTCGGGAGGCGGAGGCGGGTGCGACTCGGGAGGCGGAGGCGGAGGCTGGTTCGACTCGGGAGGCGGAGGCGGATGCGACTCGGGAGGCGGAGGCGACTCAGGGGGAGGATGGGATTCTGGCGAAGGAGGAGGAGGAGGAAGCAGCTGCGACTTCGAGTACGAGGAGACTTCTAGCGGTCATCGAGTCAGGATACCGAAGTCGAGGTCAAGCGGCGGGGGCAGCGGTTCGAACGACAAGATATTCCTGTATGTTTTTTCGTTCTTTATTCTCCTGGGGCTCGTGATATATCTGTTGTATAGGTTTGCCTTTTGAGTTTTGGAAATGTGGCTTGATGTCTCTTAGTTTCACTCCTCTCTGTCTCTGTCAGTCTATTTATCCTTCTAGCTGTCTGTCTGTCCATGTGTCTATGTATCGGTCTAGACGACATTATGTCTGCCTATCTTGCCTCTGTATTCTCTTATTTGTCTACATCTGTCGGCCTCTTTTAGTTCATTTACTCCCCCCCCTCTCTCTCTTTTTCTGTCTCTTTTTCTGTTTTGTATTGGAATCAAAAACTACCTGTGTGGAAGGTTAGTATTAACAAGTCTCTTTGTTACACATTAATTATTAAGCATTTTTATGCAGTAATGAATGTCGTGCATGTTTCGTATATCCCTTATCCATACATCTACACCAAAAGAAAATTATGGTAGTTTTTATATGAATTCTTTTGTAATTCCTAATTTCGAAACATGATTTAATTTTAATTTGTGATATATGATTATATTTTTTAATGTAATCCATCCCGTTACACGCTGTTCTTAATTGTTAATATCCTTTTAATGTGTGCATGAATTATTTTTGTTAATGGCGGATGTGATGAAAATGAATGAACGGCATAAAGGTATATATAGCCAGAAAGGAAAAAGGGAGCGATTTGAAGGTATATGAATGAGAATGATTAAGTGAGGATATTTCGGGGTCGAGCTCACAAGCACCGCGCCCTCGACACTCGCTGCCGCCTTTCTTGGGGCGCAATGAACCCCAAGGCAAAGACCATCCTTTGTCTCGTTTATATCTGACGGCAGCGTCCAACCTGTCTCGCTGGGATGTTCTATTATAAGACTAGTTTCGTACTTATGTAATAAAAGTGATATATAAACTCGAA